GCTCTTCATAGGGGCCTGTAGGCCCTTCGAGAACGCCTCGTCGCAGAGCCTGATGTGATCGTCGAGTTCGTAGTCTAGGAGCGCCAGTTCGGGCCAGGGCTCTACTGGCGGTGTGTGCAGCGGCTCAGGATTGGGGATGGGAGGAGGGTTATTGCGTATGGTGCTCGTGGAGCGGGTTGCTGAATCGCCGGTGAGTAATTGTGCCAGCGCGTTAGAGAGCTGAAAACATACTCAACGGTGAGTCGTCCACGCCTCGTCCCCACATTGTGTTGTGCTGGGTGTTACCCGTCTCAAGCCCGTCATCCGTCAACGTCATATACGTCAATTCGTCAAGCATGGCATCGAATTTGGCCTCGGCGATCTTTGGGATGGTGTGAGCACGATCTCTTGCCTTATCGGATGGGCTATACTCACTGCACGCTCTTCTTCTTTGCGCTTCTCCTCAATCAACTGGTCTGTGCAACGTTTCTCCTCTTGACGTACTTCTTCTCGACGCTTTTCTTCTGTCTGGTGATGCCGATATTCGTTATACGCGAGGGGAGAACCCTTGCATGTAGAACAGTTGCACATCACTGTTTGGGGTGCCATAGTGGAAGGGACGACAGCGACGAGTGAGTGAGTGCTTTGCAAAGGCGGTCAGTATCTCCATTCCCATCATGAGTCAGACATTCCCTATTGACGGTTATTGTCCATTGTTCTGAATCGCGACGCATGCTGCGGTCGTCGGAGCCTGCTACATACGGTGCGCGTACCAGACCTGCCGATCACTCAACAATGTGACTCTGGAACGGTTGTCACCGAGGCCCGCTTGTAAACGCCATCCAAGCAAGAACAAAAGGGAAGGCGCATCAACTCGTCGCTGATGTGGAAGCAGCGCCATGGTAAGCGACCTTCGTCGTTTCCCCGGCTGATGCGCCGAGTACGCTTTTGTTCATTGCTTTTGTTCGGTACGTGTCCGTGCTTCGTCGGGGCTGACAGGCCGGATGGACGGTGAACGCACGCCAGGATTATATATACTCAGACTATTGGGCAGATGCAAAGATCTCCGCAAACGCTACCCCGCATCGCAAACTACGCTATGGGAAACCTCCTCAGTACCGATACCGACGTCGCCAGCTCCTCCTTGGTACGCACCTCCTTGATGCGCAGGGAGAGTACCGTATCCGACCTCGTCCCGGTATGTCCAGACACCCCGCTCACATATTAATCCACTGAAAGCCATTCCAGGGAGCATACAAACCGAGGACGCAAGACGGGCTAGGAGAGAACCCGCCCCATTTCGGACTTGACCTGCAAGATTCGGTAGATTCTATCCTCGGACCGGTACCGGTAAGTCAAGGTAACACGCACACGTACCTCGTTGCTAAGCTTCTATCCAGGGAGCATATAGACCGAAGACATGGGTGACTAGACTCGTAAGTACCGAGAATGAGTGTATTGCGTCGGAGGGCTGACGAAGGCACGGAGCAGCCTTCGGACGTGTCGATGCAAAGAATTCATCTTGCGCAAGAGGCGTTTGTAAAGGCGCTTTCGAAGCGTCCTTCTAAACGCCTCAGAGTCTCCGCCACAGACGAGGAGGCATGTGCTTCGTTATATTCGCCGAGCAACTTCGCTGAACTGGTCTCAACCCAGGAACAAGGCCACTCGTTTACGGTCGCAACGACATCGGCGGCACCGAGGGGCGGCAGGCTCGCCTCGATTACAGGCGATTACATCGCGCTGATGAGCCCTTAGCTCACCTACCCGCCGAAAACGCCATTTACGGTCGATACAACAGTACACTAAGTCAGAACGGTCGACGCACTGCCCGTCCGTTCGAGGGAACCGCCCGATGTTCGAAGCTCAAGCGTCAATGTTCGGAACCCTTAGTGGCAGAGGCGAGCGGTTTAGAAGTGTCGCTACATTGGTAGGACTCCGGGGCAAGTACATGGCTACGTCAAACTAACTAGTGACGGCCTCGGCAACTCTCGTATCTATGTCCTCGACCTCCACACCCATGACCACCACCCCTACCCCTACGAACAGACGGACCGGCGTCGAAGCTACGGTCAGTGTTGACGCGCTCGAGCAGGCTTTCGAGCAACCCGACGAGGGTGCCGTGCGTGCGGCGCTGGTCGACTGCGATGTTGTGAATCGCTCGACCCATGGACTCGAGGTTGTCGGGCAGCTGGCGGAAGTCGGACAGGATCAACGACTCGCGCTGATACTGCGGGTTCGCGAGAGGGCGACGCTCGGCCTGGTTGACTTGTTCGAGCAGTACCAAGGTCTCGGACCAGGCGATCGTAGGGTAAGGCGAACCTAGGATATCTCCCTGGTTGCCATCGCGGTGAAAGACCTCGTCGAGGTAACGCATCAACTCGTCGATCTCGGGGAACGACCTAGGAGCAGGAAGCGTATCGTTCGCTAGCAGGATGGCCCGGCTGCGGGACTCGAACAAGAATCGCTGTTCGAAGGTCGGTTCGATGGTTCGAACGATAGTCTAAGTTCGGAGGCACGTACAATCATCCAACGGACTCCGTGGGCCCAAGCCAGCCACTCTCCGGGACTGTTGGCATCGTATCGCGGCTCGACAAGTCCCTCGGTCTTGAGGACCTCTAGGAGGCGGTAGTAGCGGGCAGCATACGCTTCGGAAGTTGGGTCGAGGTGCGGCATGTTCGTGTAAGTCAGGCGAACTCCTGCAGCTGTCTCATATCTTCGAGGACTGTCACCGGCCCCGGTTATGACCTTCGCCGTTCGGGGACGGTCGCCCGTTATGCGGAACCTGCGGAAGGCCGAGTTGGATTCTCTCATGTGTTAGTAGGTCCGGGTCGAGCGTTGTGACATTCTCCGATTGGCTGCTTTCCTTATCTCTTTCATTCATCATGTCTTGTATTTCTCTTGGCTCTCTTGGTCTTCGGACCGTATTTTCCTGTATATACTCTGGGACTTGTTCCCTTCGAATCTCAGAGACCCCCTTACCCTCTCAATCTCACCTCGCGTCGGCGAGGTTCGTCAGCCAGTCAGTACGTTCGAAAGTCAGCAAGTTCGCCAGTCAGTCAGTACGTTCGAAGTCAGTCAGTCAGTTCGCCAGTACGTTCGCCAGCTCGTAGTTGCCCCGAGAGGCTCTACACTTCTTCTCCTGCCGTCGCTCGCCTCTCTTGTCACCGTTCGTTCGACACGTCTGCCGAAACCCTCCCTCCTACCTCCGAGGCTTAGCCCTCGTCTTCGAGCAGTCTTCGACATCTTCGAAGCTCTCCCACGTCGTTCGGAGTCTTGTCCGTCCTCCTCCTTCTTACCTAGACCACTGTACAGTCCCCCGTACATCTCATAGACGCAGAGGCCTCGCATACCACTGCTCGACCTCACGGTTGGGTTTTTGTGTGGCTTTAGTGTTCTTTTCGGTCGCGTCAGCGCATCTGCCGGTGGAAACTGTGCAGGCTGTCGCGAAGCCGCTCTTCGACGACGACGACCTGCACTCCTTGTCTCTCGTGAACAAACGGCTCCACGTCATCGTCACACCGATTCTGCTCAAGCGGAAGGGTCTCAAGGCGAACGGGGAACGTGTTTTAACGCTCTCTGACGAGGATGCGTTCACCGGCCTTTGTATCCTATGCAGGTGGCTCGAGTTCCATCCCCCGTCGTTCATGTTACTCGTGTTTTCACCTATCGCGGACCGCGCAGAGGTGCAATGCCGTGCGGTTCTCGACTTCTTTAGCGTCATGCGATCCAAAACCGTCGCCGTTGAAACCGTCTTCCTCAGCTTCTGCAGCGATGCCAAACCGGAGTGCTGGAGGGCCCTCTTTGAAGGCGTCATCGAATCCGGTGTCTCCGAACTGCGAATACAGCAAGACGACGTGTTACGCAACGTAGGGCCCTTCAAATCTTTGAAGCGGCATGCAACACCGGCGCAGCTCTATCCGAACCTGAAGTCCTTCCGGCCTCATGCGCCGGTCCTCTTCGACGCGGAGACCATTCGGTGGACGTTACAGGTGATCAACGCCTCCGCGCTCAGAGAACTCAGCCTCTCTAAGCAATCCGAGAAGGCGTCTTGGTCCTCCCTCCTCTCGCACTTCAAGCTACCTTCTCTACGGGTTTTCACTGTCGAGGGGGGTACTCTCTCTATGCTGTCACTTTCTACCTTCCTCCTGAACCATCCAGCTCTCGAGTCCCTCTACATCGGAGCGGACTCCGACTCGGAGCTCAAGACATTCGTACCTCCCAAGCTACCCGCTCGTCACCAGGTCCTCCGCTGTCTGCGGACCCTAGAGGCCCCATTGTCGTACGTGGTTCATCTGGTTGGTGCGGCGCCCTGGGGCACGTCGTCCCGTTTGACGGACCTCCGAATCCTTCCCGATGTACGCAACGGCTTTCCCTTCCAGCCGTGTGTCGAACACGTCCTTCAGAAAATTGCGGATATGGAACACCTCTCGTGGGTTTCCATCGAAGTCCCTCAGGCTGTCGGGCAGTGCACTGCCCCGTGGTGCGCAGTGCCTGCCCCTGCAGGTCCGGATCCCTACCACTCGCTCACTCGCTTGGTAATCTCTCAGAGCGGCGTCAAGGACGCTCACTATCTTTTCAGCGAACACTTCATGGTACGAGGTTATATCGTTGTTGCTATGAACTTTACTTACTTGCTTCGAAGATGACGCTTCCAAGCCTGCTACGTACATTCTCCAGGATCGAACAACTGGAAGTTGAAGAAGGCGCGATCGACACGGAGGCTGAAGGGAGCGTGAATCGTCAGGATACGATCAACGCTATCGTAAATGCGGGCTCTGTTCTGATGTCTATTGAGATCAAGTCGGGTTCGCAGTGCGTGAAGTGGGAGCCGGTTTTGTAGCCTCTGTATTGTAGACCTTTATTACGTCTGTTACACAAGTACTAGAATTTGTATGCTCCGCTTTGTTATCTAATCAGTCTTCCGCGAGCGCTCATCCACTGGCCGGATCGGGATGAGCGGGCACGGGCGATCGCCGGGCCGGGTAACCTGCCCTAAACCAATGTGGCTTGCCCTAAACACCCGCTACGTTATATGGCGGTGTCGGCGCCTCTTCTCTCTCTTTCCTCCCACTCCCTCCTCTCACGTAGTGTACACTTCGGTCAATAGTTAGCGTAGCAATGGGTTAATAAACGGTCTGATACAAGTAGTGTTTGAAAGGGATGCTCTCGTAGTTAACGGTTTGAAAGGGACGCTTCCGTAGTTAACGGTCTGTAAAGAGTTGAACGATCTGTTTCACCTCTCTGTAATGAATTGAACGATCCGTTTCGCATCTGTTTTGTCGCCTACATAGATATTAGACTTTAGAGATATGAACCGCACGTATCGCTTCTATTGTATTGGTTATAGAAACTAGACTAGAGAGATTAGAACCGTCCGTTTCGCATCCCTTCTCGGTGTTGAACAGCGGTTAACAAACTCGTTTAGAGGTTCCCGGGTACATCGAGTCACATCTTATTGTACAACGGGCTATTCATTGCCCCGCCCTATTGTTTATTGCGCTCGTCGGATCACCCGTAAGGGGAAACGTCGTGCGAATCCTGCTGTCGGGTGTCGCCCTGGTGGTGCCGTAGCTGTTCGCACTAGCGCTGCGTAAGTCCTATTGTCCAGCCTACGCGACCCATGAGTCACTTATTGATCATCCGTACAGGGAAACGTCGCGCGGATCCCGTTGTCGGTTGTGGCCCTCGGTGCCCTGGCGGTGCAGCAATTGCTCGCACTCGCGTCCCGTAAGTCCTATTGTCCAGCCTACGTGATCCATGAGTCACTCATTGTCCCTCTCAATCAGGGTGCATCGTTGCACGCCGTGATAACACGCGGTGACGATGTGCCTGTATATAAACTGCCCTAGGAGCTGGCGAAGCATCTTCACATACACGGAAGAACATGTGCGTCGTCTTTCTATAGTGTCGTATGTCAAGCTGATTAGCGATCAAGGCTTGAAAAACGCACCACGCTCATCGGGCACACTGGTCCTGTCTATGCTGTTTGCTTACGCTCCGACGGCCAAGTGCTTCTTACTGGTGGTAAGTATATTCCTCATTAGCATGTGATCTACTTGCTTATCAGTCCAATTGAACAGGCGGCGACGCAAAACTCATGATTTGGAACGTCGTCACTGGAGAGCTTCAACAGGAAATATGCGATGTGTTTCATGGGGCCATCGGATCGGTGTGCTGGGTTGACTTCGAGGGGCGAGGGGACGATGGATTTGCTTACGGCTGCTCGAACGGTACAATTCACGTCTACAAATGGAGTCCCATCCGTGTGAGTACCGATTATTATGTTACTCTACGATGCGTTAACGATTTGTAGGGTCAATACGTGTTTGTGTCACTTACCGACGCACACCGAGGGAGGCAAGTCCAGGACATCCGCTTCAATTCTAAATACCGTCGCATTGCAAGCATCGGCGACGGTAGCCCATGCGTGTGGCGTATTGACGACAGGGGTACGTGCGTCGTGCTCGTTTGTGATGCGTATCTGACATGAAACCAGGTATTTTATCCACGATGGTGAAGGATGCGCCCCGTCGTGCGTTCATGGGGCGCACCGTGCATTTCTGCGACGACGGCGCAAGCATTCTGGCGACGTTCTTGGAGACTCATGAAATGTGCGTAGAATCATTCAAGGATATGAGTCTGCAACTGATGGTGGATATCAGAGCGTGTTATACGATAGAACCCTGGACGCTCAAGTGGTCGACGACGATCAAGAACAGGATGTGAGCATCATTACCTTGCGTGGTTGGGTTGTGCTGATCATGTTTTAGCGGCCATGCGACTTTGTCTGCCGATGGGAGGTTTTTTCTGGTATCGAATCTCGTGAATGGAGTGGACCGCTACCATTTCCCCACGCTGGACTACGCCGACACGTTCGAGTACACGATGTCGTTGCCGTACAAGATCTTCATGCTGAGTGTCGAAGGAACACAGATTGTGGTGGGCGGTGAATGCGGTGCGGTGCGGATCTTCGACGCGTTGACCGGGCAAGTTCAGGACACGTTGAGACACGCCAACGGTGAGTGGCCAAGTCGCTTGCATGATCGGTTTATCTGACGCTCCGCAGTGGAAGGTCCCATTCAAACTCTTACGGTATGTCAAATCGCTGCGCTTGGAGTTAGACATTCACTGACATGTCGTCAATAGACTGGCAGGAATGAGCAGGGCGCAATGGTGGTCACGGCGACGGGATCACAATCCGGAGGTGTGGTGTTCGTGTGGGCTGAACCCAAGGCAAGTCTCCTTGCACTGCAGGGTGCAGAAGCTCATGCAGTATTGCCAGGTCTCAAAGACCGATGCATCTCAACGTCTTGGTTCAGCCAAAGATGGGTTGTCACTTCCGATGGTCCTGTTGGCCGTCTCCGCCGTCACCATACTTTTCAACATGTTGAACACTCTAGTTGAGGGTGGGGTGGCCGGTTGGACAGTGAGATGGTTCAGACTGTTCTTTCAAACTTGGCTGAGTGGGTCTCCGCGTGATGAGGGCGTTATTTATTTGTAGATGTGTTCATGTGGTGTTTACTAACTCTTCCTATACCGTACAATACGCGCCTTTCATGCCCTACATGGGGCGATGTGGTCGTGCGGTGAAATCATGGTACATATATGGTAATGCGGTTCCGTATGCACGTGCTCATGGTGTGGTTGTGGCTGCCGCTCCCGGTTATCTTCCTCACACTACACATTTCGTACATCGCGTCCCTTTTCAAGCGTCTTACTGTATTCGTCAATGTCAGATAACAATCGAGAGGGGTCTGGCGATCGGCTCGTAAGTTAATCAACGTGATCGAGAGGCCGTACACTGATTGGATTTGGCGACTTAGGTTGCAGCCATACCGTCAAATTGTGCCGAGGAGCTTGTCCCTGGTGCACTATGGGCGACGGCATATGGTCCTAATGGGGATCGTGTGGGCAGGGTAGTGGTCGGACCAACTAATGGTCTGACGGTGGTGCCGCATGATCCACCAACTCCTGAGGGTGTGGCACAGCGGGACGAACCATCATCGGCAGCGGATCGGGATGGTTCTCCTCCACGGAAAAGACGACGCCGCAGGCGACCTGCGGGTCATCGGTTTCTCGATATCGAGGCAGAGGTGGATGAGGACGACGAGGACAACAAGGAAGATGACGATGAGAGGGACAATGGTACGTCGTCGGTGGCCTTCGAAGCACTATATGTACCTTACTAACATCTCAGACTTCATCGATGACGGCGACGACACCAACTCCGTGGCTCGTCAACGCCTTCCGGTTCCTACTCGAGTCCGGGAAGAGTTCGACATCGGGAAGCTCATGGAGAAGGCTCGGAAATACGCGTCGCGTCGGAGGCTTGACGCAATCGAGGGCTTGGCCGAGGTCTCGAGGCTACAAGAAGCCGACCTGTTGCCTGATACCTTCACGGGGACGATCATGCGCGTAGAGACGGTACATGGTCATGGTCTTTGGGTTTACCAGGTACTCAAGTAACGTCAGACGATGGGCAATGCAAACACCTTCTTCGAGATTATTTGCGAATCAGCGTTCAACCCCCAAAACGGAGGTATCTACTCCGTATTCCTACCCTCGTCCGACGCCGATCGTTCAGCCTCTACTCCCTTTGAGGCAAGGCATTTGTTGGACTCATTTTACGTCGAGGCTCAAGATCAAGCATCCGTGATACACGCACTGGACGCCGCACACCACCGGGGCTATCGCTATCGCGCCTACTCTATCGAGAAAGCAGACTACTGTATACTTTTAAATGGTTCGTCAGTCACGTGTCACAGGCGGCCCCGATGAAACGAAAATCCGGTGTGAATAACGTGTCACAGGGCCTTTGAGACGGGCGCTAGACCTGCGGCGCCGGCGCTACGCGCCCAATTAGGTAGGCAGTATACCCAATCGGGTAATTTGACGAACACAAATTTTCGTCAGGCCGGTCACAGTCACACTTGGGTGACGAACCATTTAAAAGTATACAGTACGTCCGTTTACTCCCTCGGGCATGGCGTGGAGTCGCTGCACACTCGTGGGTCACATTCAAACGCGAGCCCATCTAGCTAAACTGTCCATTGTTGCCCGGCCACCCGACATGAGATTCACTTATTGTTGCCCGGCCACCCGACGTCGGCCGACCGTTCGACTCCAGCGGTCGGTTCCCGGTGGGCCGACGTGTTCGACGGGCGTGTCAGCGACGAGGCGGCCGACGCCACCGGAAGAGAATGACAGAGCCATTCTGTCCGTGGCGGCCGACGTTTCAGACTCTGGCAACATTGTCGGGTCGGCCGGCATCCGATGGAGTTAATGCTATCGGGTCGGCCGGCATCCGATCTGATTATACATGTTCAGCCGGCCGACTATTGTAGCTCGCCAGCGCGGCTTCCATGGTCCAGTCAACTGCTGGGTTAGCGGGTCGGCCGACGGTCAGACAACCCACTGGTGCAGTGGCGGCCGACCCCATTGGTACCCGCTCGGCCCTCATAAAATCACACATCAAGTACTGGTCGGCCGTTGAATGTGTCACTCGGTACCACCCTGTCGGCCGGCATGAGACTTGCCTTATTCAGCGGGTCGGCCGATATGAGACTGCAACATCATTAACCAGTCGGCCGCCATGAGACCGCGCGTTGATAGCTTGTCGGCCGACTCCACATCGACTCATTATACCCTGCTCGGCCCACCACTTTCGCCCCCACCCTGTCCGAGCCGGCCCATTATTAGCTGCTGGTAAACCGAGTGTCCATCGTTGGACATGGGAAGACACTCATGATTGCAGAGGCTGGATGGGACGCTACGGCTCCTATGTCGTTGCCCGCTCCTTTTCCGGAATTTGAGCCATGGTGACATATTTCATATACATTGGATCGCAACCCGGAAGCCAAATTTATAGTACACATATACTACTGCTCGTCCGCGGGCCCGTAGTACTTCGCCATCTTGGCGAGAATCGCGCCACTCCGCCTGTTTGCCCGCTGCAGCTCACGTAAAGCCTCCAATCGCGCACGGAGCACAGTGCCT